TTATAATAAATAATCATATTTTCAATATTTCTATAATAATTATTTATATATTTTCAATATTTCTATAATAATCATATTTTCAATATTTCTATATAAATGCAATTCTTTATAATCTACATCTGTATGAATTTTATTTTTTACATACATTCGTATAATCTAAATTGCCCGTATTTTACAACTTCCTTTCAATATATAACACTATTATCAAAAAATTTGAGATTTTTTTTTATAAAATAGGAAGAAAGTAATTTTAATTTTAATATTTAATCTCAAAAATGTAAATCGCAAATGAAGATACAATTGTCAAAGCACAATCCTCAATTGTCCAAAAGATTATAAAATAAATAATAGGAAATAAAAACAACAATTGATATCAATATTGTAATATGTAAGATAATAAATGAGTTTACTCACTGGTGGTCGTTGTACCCTAGCTAAATACGCCTTCAGCTGTATCTGGAAAAAATTAATGCATTGTAATTATTATGAATGTTATCGCATTTTATGTATGCTAACACATTATTGAATTATTTCGATTTAATTATAAAACATAATTAATAATAATATTTGGTTAATTATTCACACATGATAAATTGAATGAATAATTATTCAAATATTTAATTATTTAATTAAATAATTAATTAAATATACAATATAACGATTATTTTATTCCATTCCAATATTTCTCTCTGCCTGCATGTTTACTAAATTTTCATCGAAAAGCTTGTAATTAGAAAGAAATTAGAGACTGACATTTTTCAAAGTTCAGAAAATAGATTGGAAATATCACGTATATAAATAACAAATTTGCAAATTAATTTATAATATTTAATTATTGAGCTCAGTCTTTATTGGCCCATTATCGTCACAATAAATATATGATATAAGTATGTATTATTATATATATTAAAATATAATACATAAAAGGCATTCTATTTTTATAAATATTGGAGAAAAATAATTGCATCTGTGCATATGTAATGTTAATAATTATATACATATTTAAATAACCAATATCTTTTCTCATCAGCTAGGATATTGAAGTTTTCTCCACTCGTTGAAAATTTCACCTTAGAAGGACTCCGCTACTCCACATTGAGAAAACGATTGCCGAAATAGGCAGTTAATTATACGATGACTTAACAAACTTTTAAAGTTACATTTCCATACATTTCATTACCGAAGAAACACGAGAAACGCAAGTCCGCCACGCCACACCGCGATTTTGCAAAACGCGATCTTTGTCCTGCGATTCTAATTGCTTTACACACATAATTGTTCCTTGCTAATTATTGTCACATATACCGGACGACGAACTCTTCTTTAGTGTAGTTTATACACATTTAAGACTTCATTATTATAAAAGTCTGCAAATTTTTTAAGCTACATTAAAATTATCAAAATATCAAAATCCACCACTGTCCATGTCTATATTAAAATTTGATTTTTTAAATTATTTTTTTAAGTTATTCTTCAAGTTCAATTTCGTTTCTAAAATTGCAATATTTGATTGTGAAATAAAACAATTGTGTGTGTGATTTTTATAACTATAGTAGATAGTATTATTAAAAAATTTTTAATGTATTACAAATACATTACAGCATCTACAATTACAGCACCATCATTGTATTATCAACGAGATATATTATGTCCATTAATACTACGATCACACGGAGTTAACGCAACGAATCCGTACACTCACCATCTATCGTCTTTCAATATACCGTATCCAATATTTCATAAATGCATGTAATGGAGGATTTTTTATTCCGAGCAATAGACGCTGGATATAATTACGTCTAGATCTAATGAAAAGTTCGCTAATCGGGCATCGATCCCTTCGGAGAAATCATAAGGACCATTTTCCCGTGACAATGGCATCGGAATATGCACTCACCGACACTGTAACGTCGACTTTATTCACTACGACGCAATATCCACTACAAAACTGCGTCGATCACAAACACTCGCGATAGCCGACACTTTCGAACGATCACTTGTTACTTCAGTCAACACTCGACAAGAATATTCACCTGTCGTGAGCTATTACTCGATAAAAGCCGCGATTAATCAAGGATCGTTCGCTTCACGTGATTCCGTACCAAAGGCGCCGCACAAGTGTCATGGCGGCCGGCTCCCGCACGGCCGGCACTGTCCGCGCATGCGCGCGCCGTTCTACGCCGCGCCGGTTACCCGTTTGAACCGAAATAGTTTGAAATACGGACGATTAGACGACCGCGACGATAATTCAGCGTTTTTTACGCCCATTTTACGACAACTACAATGATATACTCGATATTTTCTTTAGAGATTTAAAGAAATACGGAAGAATTTATTTCGCGAAAGACACAAAAAGGAGCGAAATAGTCCGAATCAAATTTCAAATCGGCGCGTACGCAAAGGAGTAAAACGCGACGTCACGTAATAACGTATCTAGACGCGTCATATCACATTAGAAAGTACATTAATCGGGTGTCGATCTTTTCGAAGGAATCGTAAAGATCGCTGTTCCGTGGCTACGAACTACAGCGTCGGAATCTGTTCTCACTAGAATGTTCCCGTTTCGACTGACACACCACGACGTAATATCGATCGTGAAATGATGTCGATCGCGAATACCCGCGATAATCGATACGTTCCGACAATCATCTATCACTTTAGTCAACACTCCCAACAAGAATTTCCGTTCGTTGTAAACTCTTACTCGATAAATGCAGCGATTAACTGAGAAGCGTTTGCTGCTACACGCGTTTCGTACGAAAGGCAACTGTGCGAGTGTCATGACGACCAGCTGCCGCGCAGGCGCGCACCGTTCAAACTGAGACGGTTTGAAAAACGAACGATTAAAGGTGCAATTTCACGCAGCGTCAAAACGCTGCCGGCTCTCCCCACTTTGACCCCCTATGAGTCACCGTCGACAAAACGGCAGCCGCTAAAGTCCTCCTTCTTTTTCATGGAGCTAGCCGCTGGATTCAAGGAGGCACACTCAGAGAAAAAAGTCGTATCAGTAACTATAAATTTGTAGTGAAATAGCGCCTCAACTATATACATATTATTAAATTCTAATAAGAATACTAGATTAAGTGAACTAAGAAAATATAGTATATTAACCATATAAACAATTTATAAATGGTTAATATTACTATATTTTCTTAGTTCACTTAATTTACTTATTGTTCTTATTAAAGCTTTATAATACATAGTTACAAATTTGTGTATGCATTTCTTATTTATTTTTGTCTTCCAAGTTCGAAACCAACGCTGCGCCTTTTATTGTAAGCGAGTGGTTTCCTTCTTAGGAGAAACTGAACTCCACTACGTCCCTCTGGTGACAAAGCCGCGTACTACTCGTACTGAGCGACACTTTAAAAATTTTTGTCTAAACTAGAAAAATGTAATTGTTATATCTATTTGCATGAAGTCCAAGTAACTACTCAATGTAGTTGAGTCACTACTTCACTACCAATTAATAGTGCATACAATTTGTTACCGTGACTATATTTTTATAATATTCAGCATTACTTTAGTTTCTATTACTTTGTAAAACTAGTTACAGGTACTTTAATTGCAAAAGTTGCCAAATTTATAGTTGCTGGAACTATTTTGTTTTCTCTCAGTGCAGAAGCGATTAACTTAAAAAGAGAAGAAGCTAGCCGCTGGATTGATATTCTATATTTTTTAAATCGTTTTTCCTACAGATTTAATTCGTGTGTTAAACTAATAAAAGATTAAGAATGCGTGTCAAAGTAAATTTAAATTGCTCGAACAGTATGTTGTCAGAAACATTGCGAAAAGAATTGCCATCGATAGTAGTTAAAGAGAATAGGAAACGACGAATATTGGTATTGTGTGCAATTATGCGAAAATTGCAAGAAAATGAGGAGAAATCGTACAAGAAAAAGCAATATTGGGTGGCTACTTTTCGCTGTAAGAGCCGCCGTCGTTTTATTGACGCTACAAACGCTTCGAAGCGTTTGAGCGGCCAACCAGAACAAAGAATTTTACTAATTGACTAATCAAAGAATGCTTCGAAACGTTTGTAGCGTCAAATGGACCGCAGCCTAAATGATCTCAATTCGGTGCTTTTTACGCGCGTTTTAGACAGCTACAATAATGTATTCGCAGGAGACGCAAAAAGAGGCGAAATAGTCTCGATCAAATTTCAAATTGACGCGTGCGTGACGGATTGAACCGACTCGGGGACTCAATCCCTTCAAAGGAATTATAAGTATCACTGTCCCTACGGACAGTCGGCACATATTCATAGTCCGTTCTTATTAACTCTTTACTTAAGACGGTCTTAAATATATGCGTTCCATTTCATGCGTGATGCGCATGATGTATCATTTTATCCTTCTTTAATATTTGATGAACAACAAAAATAAGTGATACATGATGCATGAAACGCAATACACTCGTCATGTGACATTACAGAACGATGTCGCCGTACCATTAATTCGTTTCAAATTTGTCTAAAAACGCTGGCTACTAGTGCAATCTAGTGCAATACATAAAAAGCTTCGCTTATCCATAGATGACGTAAAACACAATTTACATATATGACGTAAAACATAATTTACATAGTCTACGTTGTATATATAATGTGGATATAGATTTATGGATTATTACATTTTACGCGTAAAGGCACAACCTTGGAAATTACACTATGTGGTGCCATCTGACTGTTTTCACTCTAATCACAATGCTCGTCGAGAAGACGTTAATGCAGTCTTTTTTCAACCGCGTAAAACTGCGATAAAATCCCAGCCATCGGTCTTCGATATCATTTGATATTATCTCGTGACAGTCGAAAAAATTCTGTTCCAAATATAGCATATAAATAACAAACAAAAGAATGAGTCATCGTGTCTTATCTGTCGATGCAGAAAAATTCAATATCGGCGCGTCATCGCGTGTATATTTATACGAACGCCGAGTTTTCATCCTACGTGCTACGAACGCGACCTATTATTTTTTTTGCCTTTTTTTCCGCCTTTCACTAAAGCGTAGAAAATTCGCGCGAATCGCTCGAGGCACGCTAGCGTAACGCGCACGCGTACACGGCGGCTGGCCGTCACGCGTCACGCGACGTTGAGACATGTGACCCGTTTAAAGTTTCACCGTGCGTGCAATTACCGTGCGAGCGCCGCCGCGCCGCGCTCGCGGATTCCTGTCGCGCAGTCGATTCGAGTCGGTTCTCGGAGCCTCCCACTACGTTGCATCTACGAATCCGTAGGTTATGTCGCCGTGTTTATACTCGCTGTGATCCCGCGAGATCGAAGTATTCGGACACGCGGCGCTTCGTGTCCGCGCGCGCTTACGATCTGTCATCCCAGTCATCGCGGCGAGCCTGACAGAGGATCGCATGGGCAAAATATGAGAAGGATCACGTCGGAACGTCAACTGGGACATCGGCTGGAAAATCGGCAGTCGTGCTACTGCGTCGTGTCCGCGAGCTAATTCGATAACGGCCCAAGGTTCGCATTCGCGATCGTTATAGATCGTTCTTTCTCGCTCTTCCTCGTTTTTCTCTCTCTTTTCCTTCTCCCGTCTTGGACATCCCGTATCGAGACAAGACTCTCACGCATATGTTTACGCGCAGACAACTATCGAACGAAAGCGAAAGTCGTATTTTTCGTCTCCGAGGAGGTGTGCGTCGCGATCGATTTTCACGCGTTGCGTATTTCTTTTTTTACCGTAGGTGGTGGCCGCTACGAAACCTTGTCCTATTTCTGTAGATCGCCTGTATACGTATGTATATATGTATATATATATATCACGTAAACATATCGTGTACTAATATATACTTCAGGACTTTCTCGCGAGAACGTTTTTTTTTACGGTCTGTTTACGGTTAGAATTAGCCATCGTGAAAACTGTCACTCTTTTAATCCGAGAAGTAGACTATAATATGGCTTATTTATTTTGTGAAGGCTTAATGATTGTATGGATGATACAATTGTCAAAATTTAATGTCAAAAATTATAAGTTTAATATTTCTATTTTTATTTAATTATTCTCTTTAATAAAATTGACAAATACGATACATCATCGAGAGGTGTGCTCAGAATTTATTAAATACATTTTGATAACATTTAGGGATTAATCTGAAATTTTATAGGTTATCTGATTATCTAATTGGCCTAATAATTTGCAAGAATAATATTATAATCTATTTGTAATGGTATTGGAATGTTCTGGAATAAATTATCTAATTTAATTATGTGTGCGATGGATCAATTTAATTCTTTATTTGAAGCTGACATGCTATGACTAATGACTGATGACTCATTCTTAACATAAGATCATTTTTTGTGTTGATTGACAGGACAGCTGTGTTATGAGTGTTGGTTTATCCATGTACGATGGCTTGGAGAGTGGCTTGGAGAGCGAGAGTCCTCCTGGTAATGGCTTGGACAGCACTACGGGTGCTACAAAAAAACTGGCTAGAGGTATCTCCCGCGCAACTGAAAATGCAGCGATTGTTTCCTATGCTCGTTTACAATTGGCAGCCTTAGGAACACTCGATACACCAGAATTCACATTTTCATTGCCAGACTTGTCTGTGTATCCAGGTATCATTCTTTATCCAAATGCAATGTGTATCCTAATTGTTTTTTATTAACATTAGCAAACTTTTGATTGATATTTTATATCTAGATTCATTTCGTAAATTCTTGGAGAAGGATCTGATAGAGAATGGATGCCTGAGTTCTTTAGAAGCTGCAGGTCGATTAAACTGGTGGTACAAAAGTGGAAGCACTAGAATTCTTTGGCCACTAGCAACATCTGGAGATGGCAACTGTCTACTTCACGCTGCGTCATTGGGAATGTGGGGCTTTCATGATAGATTACTTACTCTGCGAGAGGCATTACACAATACTTTGACCAAAGGAGAATACAGACATGCACTTTTCAGGTATAAAATAAGAAAATATTAATTTTAAAAGACGAGAGATAAATATTTGAGACACCTATTTATTTAATACCATAATTATTAGACGATGGAAGTGGAGACAAATGAGCCTGAATGAAGCGGCTGGATTATCGTACACAGAAGCGGAATGGTTATCAGAATGGCAAAGTATAGTGGATATGGCATCTCCTACAATCAGAAATCAGACTGCTACCTCTTATCAGAGTCTTGAAGAAGTATTATAACATCTTTTCTTGACTATCAACTTTTATTTTAGTTAGATATACAATATATTTTGATTTCAGATACACGTGTTAACCTTGGCTCATATCTTAAGAAGGCCTATAATAATTATAGCAGAAACTATGTTGAAGGACGCGGATGGAGTAGCTTTAGCACCAATCCCATTCGGTGGAGTGTATTTACCCCTGGAAGTGCCGCCTTCGCATTGTCATAGAACACCCTTACTTTTGGCATATCATTCTGCTCATTTCTCCCCGCTTGTAACTGTAGATGGCTGCAATGATTATGGCAGCGCTTGTGGTGAAGGCGTTAGTATACCATTAGTAGATCCAGACACGGGCAAACTGTTATCAGTCTTATTTGCCGTGGATCCTGGCCCTGATTGGGATTGGGTTGATGGTTCACGAGAATTGTTAATTTGTACGCAGGATACCGTAAGTATCCTGTTGCATACATTTAGCCTGTCCAACACTTTGCTCGTGAGTCGAAACGCTTCCACCTCTCCACCTGAATCAGATCTGTCCAAGCGTCGTAGAAAGAAGGAACCAAAAGGGAGCCAATTTCTCAATTTGCAATTATAGTAGGTGTTTTTATTTTGTTTATTATTCTTGTTTATGACACCCAAAAATTACAATAAAATTTTAATCAAACGTTTTGATCTTTAATCTGATCATCATCAATGATTTTTAAAATAACTGATGATGACCAGATTTCTACGACGCTTGGACAGACTTGAATTTAGATGGCATCTATGTGTCTATCCTTTGTTATTTTCGCTCTGTCTCGCTTTACCGAGATGGTGGGGAGGTGGAAGCGTTTCGGCTCACGAGCAAAGTGTTGGACAGGCCTGATTTAGCATATTGTTAATAAAGTATTAAATTGATAACGGAATCATTTTATTACTTGTATGCAGATGGAGGCTTTGTTGCGACAGTATTTAGATTGCGAGTATCAAAGTTTCACGTCCGAAGATATCGACAGGCTTTCTGATTCGGATGGTTCTTTATCGAAAACCGCGAAGCAATTGTTAGAGGTCGCGAAACAATTCGGTTCTATCGGTAAATCTGTCAGTAAAAAAATATGGTCTATGACGAACAAAAGGCCAAAGAGCCCGCCTTCCACGAGCGGTGGAATTTCGACAGAAGGCTTGTTGTGTGTGAGAATAAAGAGTAGACGTCATCAGTACGTGGATCAAATGCTTCAAAATTATCTTCAGTGTGCCCATGCAAGGTATTTCCACTTTGATTATTCGATAAATCAGAAGAGTGTGGATCATAGTTACATCGATTTGCTGTATTTATATATTGCAGATATCTACAAGATCATCAGGTGGATGACACAGGTAGTGAACTAAATTACGGTGCCGGCAAGTCCAAATTTTACGCTGCCAGTGATCGCGATAGTCATGCGAGCGTTAACAAACTATTACCTACTAACACAAACAAAAATCATACGCTTTATCTTTCGAGGTATAATTGCAAAATCTAGACTTTCTTCACTATATCTAATCATGAAGAGTAAATTAACATTTTTTTCACAGATCTACATTTTTTATTGATAAAACTCCATCAAGTAATACGGGACCAGAGACTTGGAATAATAGTGACCATTTAAAGGTATGTCAAGTAATTTTCAAAAGGAATAAATTCTGTTAATTAAAAGTTGCCATTTGTACAGGGCACCGTGAAGGAGTGCCGCAGTGAACACTGCCAATTCTTTGGATCGCCAGAAAACCAATATTATTGCTCGCAGTGCTGGGCTCATCAACAGTCTCGTTAAACAACCGTCCATAATCGTACATGACAATAATCTCAGATTAATATCGTTCAAAATAAGCTATTAAATAATTTTTAGACATAATGCTAGCCGTAAGATAAAGCTTATGAATGTCCCACCAACATATCGACGATAATATTATGTTGTTTTCAGTTTTGTTTCTTCTCATGTTTTCTTGTATTTATTAACATTTTCTATCGGAAAGCTGCATATCGTATGCACAGGATTCAATTAATCGACATACTGACTCATTATGAAGCGTGTTTATTGCAGCACATATTTTCGTTTCAAATTTAAAAAATTGTGTATTTTTATTCGAATAACAAAGTTATTTTGCAATTTCGATGTGCCTTCTGTTCTATATACGCGGAACAAAAAATGATGATTATGATAAAAACGTTCACTCACAACTACCTCTACAATTCGATTATAATGGTCAGTAGTTATCACTCCGCGGTTTTTTTATATTGATAAAAAATGATATGGAAACGTTTATAATCTCATTATCCTGTGCATGTACAGCTGTGTAAAGAATAAACCATATTTTTATACATATCGCCTCATTATTTACCGATGTGCGGAATATAATAGTAGTTAAGAAGATACACAAAAAGCCAGTTTTTGCCATAATAAAATGTATTTACACATATTTCCTCACATTAGCCTATCATCATGTGAAAAAGGTAATTAATAGTAAATGATTAACATTACCTGACATTATTACCCATATTCACTAAATTATCGACAAAGCATATGTGATAATATTACGCTAATTTTATTAATACCTCTATGAAGAAAAAACTTTATGTACAAAAAAGAGAAGGAAATAATTATGCAGTATATAAATTATTGTTTTTTTTTTTCAGTACTTTGTATGTTTTCTATTATTATAAATAGCTATATAAGAAAAACATGAAATGAGAAAAGATTTTACAATACGTCGAAGGAACTAGGGATATTCACTTCAGCTACAATACTACTACAAGCGCAGAGTATATGCTTAGCTATTGGAATTTAAAAATGTCCTCTTGCTTTCATTTTATCATTTAAACACTTTCAACATTCGATATTGGTCTTTCAATGAAATGACTAATAAAGAAATAAGTAAAAGAGTACCACCTATATATTTTGTGTCTTTAAAATTGAGTTTCACGTACTATTTACAATTTCAGTCATACGAGCACAGAGACAGTATCAGAATCGATTAGTTTTGTATCCAATACCTTTCACTTAAGTAGTAAGCTTACATTTAACCAATTTCAACTGGAAAGTTTTACTTCCTCTTATGAAAGATGATAGCTAAAGAGAGATCTTTAAGAAAATTATAAACCAAAGTAACTTTTATGGCTGTAGCATTATGCGCGTATAAGTTTCATTATAAATTCTTTTCAAGACATTTAATGTCATTTATAATCAAAACTAAAATGTAGCAAAAGTTATTCATTTTTAAAACCATGAGTGAGTTTATCATTCAGACCCGCGAAGAAATAAAAACATGATTATGGTTAATTTCATTTTGTAATTCAATAAAATAATACGGCGAAAATATCAGTATGATTACATCGATATATAGATGCACATACATATATAAATATAATTAATGATATCAATGTATAACATGGATTCTAGTGTGTGAGATGCAAAATTTATTACTGATAATTTTTTAACAGGTCTTCTTCGGCAGCTTTTTTCTCTTACACTAGATTGAATTCTTCCCCTGACAGTTTTTTTTTCTTTTGTGTCATTGTAACATAAATAATTATTCAAAACAATGCAAATTTTATATATAGATATTATACTTAGGATCAATTGATGTACCCATTTACAACTTTAAATAAGATGTGAAACTAGATGTCCAATGTAAAAAAAAAATCAATCGTGTACTTATAGTACTTACGTATGATTATTTTTATCGAACGTTTATCATTGTAAGGTAAATCAATTGGTCCGTTCCTATTTAAAAGATCAAAGTGCCAGCCACAACACAACAAGCAAAGTGCTCCTATCCATAGTACTTATATCCATATCTCACGCGCGTATGCGCCGTAGCATATTGCTTAAGTTAAAGAGCTTGTAAACACGGAATTCTCCATAACTTCATACAACTATTAACATTTCAATCTTTCTATTAACTCTCGCCCAGCGAAAACTGGCATCATTCTTAATTAACTCTATTGATTTTTTACACGTTTCATAATAAGTTTCTATAAAATATATTAAATATTTATGTAATACCTATATCGCGTATTTGTGTAATACATACAACAAATATAGCTTAACATTATATTCAATATATTATATATGCATAACGTGAATAATCAAATTTTTTAATCACGCGCCATAATAAATAAAAATTTTCATTACGTAATGATTCAATTTTCGTTGTCCAACAAATATTTCGGTAGTGCGAGAGTTAAAGAATATTATCTTTCATAAACCATCGTTAAACAAAATCTTTAAAATTACTAAACAATAAAATTTTTAAAAACCATGAATTTCTTTTATATATAAAGTCTGAATAGGCTATATATATATAGATTTGTTTTTAAAAAATATAAATAACAAAGATTGACGATGGTTTAAGAGAGACATATCCATAATCTTATTTAAATTTTTTTTAGAGTATTTTATCCATTTTCGACAAAAAAATACTTATTTGAACTTTGATATCCAGAAGGAAAAACAGAGAGATCGTCCGGTTTAGAAGCTCGTTAATTTATTAATCTATACAGAACTGATATATAATAATTAGCGATTCACGGTTTTTTATTATCATTTAAGAAATGGATCACGATTCCCCATTACCACTATCATCACCATCCTCGTAATCGGTCGCGCTCAACTGCTCATCCTCATCATCATCCAACTCGTACTCGTCATCGTAGAAGTCCGTCATATCTAGTTGTTGTTCGGCCGGCCTCGCTCGAGTCTTTATGCAATAATCCTCCAGAGTTACAGGCACGACAATACCTTCCTTTTCGGCTTCCATCTTGGCAGCTTGAGCTTGTTTCCTAAACAAAAAAACATAAACGAGATATATATTGAGAAAATACCTACCTTGGTTGTGACCAATCTTCTGCCTATCAAATGAAAAATTAAATATATTTTTAAAATATATCTAAAATTTCCTTGAGAATTTCTTGATTCTTTAAATATCTTTTTGTGGCTTGCTTGGGAATATAGAATTTTCTAACAAATATTTCATTCGTAAACACCAAAATTTTAGAGAACAATTAATCGACTTTAGCATGAAATCTAACGTAATAATTATTATTTATAATGCAAATATTGTTATTTCTAAATTATTATTATTTCTAAACAATAGCCTCTTAATAACAGGTAAATTAATATAATTGTTAAAAAAACAGTTTTCATTTTCGTGTATAATTAGAACAAGAATTGGTTTTCCTAGATAAGTTTATATAGCCGCTCTAGAGCGTTAAAATATATATATTTATGTTGCACCGACATTCTCGTTTCCGCAGTTATCTGTTTCGCACAGTCGTCACAGTTTTTAGCACGCTATGGATCCGATAGCGGTACAATTCCAACGAAAATGCGCAAAGTTTCTTGCAATCGCGTGATGATGTCACGCAATGGCATTACTAAGGATATCTTACCTTATGATATTTTCATATTCTTTGTCTCTTCCTTTGGAATCGCGCCAGCGTCTATACATCACGGATGCGTCAACGTTGGCTGGACTATACGTGTTGGGCTCATTCAACAACGAGATCACTGACAGCAGGATAGTCCTGAGATGAAATATATAATCGATTAATAATTCTAACAGAAATTTCTATCGTTGTTTCTACAATTTCCAGCATCTTCAGTTTTATATTTTGAGAATTATTGCTAAATCGCAGACAATTGCAACTTTCACACGGAGAGAATTTTTTCTTAGAGCTTACCCTGAAAATATGATAGTCGTGGGACAACATTGTACTTTGAAGAATTTTAATGCAAACCTCTCTCATTCATTAATAAAACTACAATAAAATATAAAATAGGTTTGATTAACTTTACTAAAGTGCATGGTAAAAATCTTTAAAATATTGTATTGTACCACAACTATCATATTTTCAGAGTAAATTTTAAAAGAAAATTCTCTCCGTGCATGGATTCTTGTTTTCGATTTTATGCGTGGCACTGTGCACCCACCTGACATTCTGGGTCGGATTCCACCTCTCACACGGTAACTCACCGCTTTGTGGATCGTCTACGGGTGGATGCAGGATTGATATGCACAGATCACCGTTCTACATAAAGAAAGAAGTAGCCTTTTACACTAATTCTCCTAACATTTAATTCTTCACCTTTCGATTAATATAATAAGCCTGTTCGTTATCGTTGCATTGGACTGCGTTAAAATTTTTTACCTCACCTTCACCAAACTTCAAATATATATTTCGTTTTAAGTGTACACAATAAGTGCCAACAAGCGTAGTAATCACAAAGAACAGGCCTTGTATCGGTTTGTTTTCTGCAATGAGTTGAAATTTACGTATGTTATTTTTGGAAATTTACCCAATAATGTATTTTGGTATTTATTCGCTTACATATGTGCTAAATAATTTATTGTTAAGAAATTAAGGTGAGCCTAACAAAGATGCTCGCTTCAACTTGAAAAGATAGTCATATATATATTTTTATTTGCAATTTCTAAATATATTTATTGTTATTTCAGAAAAAAAGAGCCTGTGCATGTGTAAGAATTTGTGCGTGTGGCGTTCGCGTTCATTTTGTTGTCCTTTCGCCAATACACAGCGACCTCGGTGCTTCTGGTTCCGCGTTTCTTGTCCCTGAGAAGACATCGTTGCTCGAAGGACGAGACCTCCGGATGTACCTTTACGGTACGTGAAGAGAAGTCGCCGAGGTCACCGTGATTCTACACCATATTCGGAGAAGAGATATGACTTTTTTAAATCAAAATTATGCGTTATCGGAATCGAATAAAACTATCAATATACGAGAAGTAAGGCTACGTATAGCAAGTAGAAAAAAAAACATAAGTCTTGGGCCGTCCTATAAACGCGTGCCAAACATTATGAAAATCGTAGAAAAATTGCTGCAGACGTTTTCTCATGCACAAGAATCGCTTCTATCTTTCGTCTCTCCTGTGTGAAGACGTTCGGCAAGTAGGACAAGGCGCACCGTGGTTTCACCGTGGCTCGACTCCGAACACCTCGTAATAAACCACGAAGGCGAAGGCGAGCTCCTCGAGTAAACGCCCGGCACTTGACACGACCGCTCCGACGGCGATAGCATCGCTGTATCCGTGCATGCATTTATACAAGCCGATGAGTACAGACGCAGAATCGCGCGAAGTGTAACCGGTGGAGGTGACCGGCACTTGAGATCTATATATCGAGAGCTACACGCAAACAAAATGTGAGAGGAAGCGTAAAAAAATAATGAAATTGATTCTAGAAATAGATTCTGCGTAAGAAACGTGATATTCAGTGGCTTATTATAAAAGCACTCTGCATATATTTTATCTACACGAAGCTAAATAAAACAATGCCGTTGCCTCTTATTCTTTACGTATGTAAAATGTTTACCGTATTTACCGTACATTACTGGATTTGCGTGCCGACGAAAAAGATCAGGGAAGATTCGCGTAATGTACAAGATACACACGCGTACGAATAATATGAATTTCACGACGGGGAAAGTTGGGCTTGAGAAGAGCGAACCGTATACGTGTTAAGCCATGCGGTATATATCGAGTAAACCTTCTACGACGGTCTGCTTCGATTGCGAAAGAC